TCCTGTACAGGGTTTCTAAGGAGTGGCTGGGGGTTTGAACCATTGACCTTATGGTTCAAACTGAACGTGTGACCTAGTGCATTAGTCTGCAGCACCACATCAGGACTTCTAACTCTAGCATTATTGTTGTTAAGTACCTTTAAGTCAGTTCTGACTAACAGGGACCCTGTAAAGGATTTCCAAGGAGCAGCTGGTGAGTTTCAACCACAGAACTTGACCTCAAACTCGAAGTTCAAGCTGAACTCGAGGTTGAGTGCTTATCCTATGGCGCCACACCAGATTCCATATAAAGGATGTAAACTCAGCTACTCAGATTATATAAAGCAGTGGTTCTCAAATTTTAACATGCATCAGAATCACTTAAGGTTTTTTAAAAAAATACTTCATTTTTGATCACTGACACTGTTTGTATTCAATATGGGAATCTGAATTTTTAACAAGTTGCCAGATAATGTGGATGCTTCTACATTAGGGACCACTCTGAGCAGAATATTTTTCTAAACTAAAGCTTAAAAATCACAACAATGCACCAGAATAGTGACAAGATTTGTTCATGTATAACTGTGATACCTAAACTTTAGTGTCCTTGGTGAGTCTAACCTTATTTTATTAATCAGTGCATAAACCCACTGCCACTGATTCCGATTCATAATAACTGTATCTAAGGTTTCTGAGACAGTAAATCTTTATAGAAGTAGATAGCTTTTTCCTGCTGAGTGGCTGATGGACTTGAACCACCAACCTTTCGATGAGCAATCCAATGTCTAACCCAATCATCAAGGTTCGTTTGATAAGTGCATTCAAAATTAAGATTGTTGAATGAAGCACTGTTTTGTTTTCTTTCTCAAAAAGGGATTGCCTGACTGCATGTTATTTCACTATATGGACTAACCTTACTGTGATTTAAGCAGAATCCATTAGTGTTTAACACTGTACAAATGACTTTTTAAAAATAAATATTGTATGTTTAAAAAAAATTTTTTTTTAAATATTAAAAATAAATAAGAGCACCTTACAAGAAATCTTTAAAGCATTTAACGGATCTATGTGAAAGATGACCTACCCTATTTTCTAACACATATATAATTGGTGATTGGAGGTTATGTGCCATGGAGTCAGTTCCGATTCATAGCGACCCTGAACAGGGTTTGCGAGGCTATAGATCTTTATGGGAGCAGAAATCCTCATCTTTTTCTCACAGAACAACTGGTAGTTTCCAATTAATGACCTTGCGAACTGGCAGCCCAATTTGTAACCAATATGCTACAAGCACTCCTATATCTATCTATCTATATATATATAATTGAGGAGTCTGAAAATATAAGTTAAATTAGCAAGTGAATCAAGGAAAGTCACTAAGCCTAAGAAGTCCTGTGTGGCGCTGTGGGTGAAATGTGTCAGAACGTAAAGCCATTTGAACTGCAAAGTCAGCAGTTCGAGCTCACCAGCTGCTCCTTAGAAACCCGGTCAGAACTAACAACAACAAAGGAGTACTGGTGTGGTGATGTAGGTTAATGCACTGGACTGCAAAGTCAGCAGTTCAAGTTCACCAACCGCTCCTTAGAAACCCCCATACAGGGTCATAATGGGTCAGGACTGAGTCAACAGTACTTAACAAGAACAACGTTCCTGGTGTGGCACTGTGGGTTAATGCACTGGACTGCAAGGTTGATTTGCAGTTCAAACTCACCAGTCGCTCCTAGGAAACTCTATATAGGGTCGATATGAATCACAACCGACTTGGTGGCAAACAACAATGTTCCTCTGCTAACCTCTAGGTTAGCTTTGGAGAAAAAATGGCAACTACCTGCATTAATAAACTGGAGTTCTAATCTCATTAAAGGACTCCTGGTGTGGCACTGTATGATCAGCACCAGACTGTGAACCACAGGTCAGCAGTGCAAATCCACCAGTTGCTCCCCAGAAACCTTATACAGGGTAACTATGAGTCAGCAACGACTCAACAACAACAACAATCTCATAGAGTGCCTATGGACAGGGGCATATGCGTGGGATATGATGAAACAAATATCCTTTAATCAAACCATATATTTAGGAAGAACCACACAAACTACGGAGTCCTGGTGGATGCTGTTCGTTAACGCGGTAGCCTGTAAGGCCAGTTTGAACCCCAAGGTCGGCAGTTCAAGTTCACCAGCGACTTCTTGGAAACCATATACAGGGTCACTATGAGTCGGAACAGACTTGACGGCATTTCACAACAACAATACAAGCTACAAAAGAGAACTTTGACATTCTTGATGACTGCAGTAAGGTTCTAAGATTAAATGTCAAATGTATAATTTCTACCTTAGAATACAAATAGAAATTTTCAGAATTCTAGCTAATATTGCTACACATAAGAAGTGAAATGGAGATTATATATCTGTATATACATACAGTCTGAAGATATGCATATTTATGTGATGAATTTTTAAAAAATGTTCTTTCTGAGATATCATTCAGGAATAACAAACTTAAATGACTATTCAACACACACACACATTTTTTTTTTAAAGCTAGTTTTAGGCTCATGCAAAGCTTACCATAAAATTAAGTTCTATATTGTAGAACTTTTATTATTTTAATAAGTACTGCGAAGAGAGTAGTATATTGCAAACTAAACTGTGGCGCCATAGATAAGCACTCAACCTCAAGGTCGGTTTGAACTGCAAGGCCGGTGGTTCAAACTCACTAGCTGCTTCTCAGAAACCCTATACAGGGTCACTATGAGTTGGAACCGACTTGATGGCACACAACAAAACAATAGTAAACCTATTTGAGCCAGAATACATGCATACTTTGGGAAATACTACCAATGATAATCAATTGCCAAGCAGATATTTTCACTTTCTACCCCAGTTTGGTGTTGTGCTGTGGGTTAATGCACTGGACTGCAAAGTCTATTTGAGCCACAAGGTCAGCAATTCAAGCTCATTAGCTTTAGCTCAGAAACCCTATACAGGGTCACTATGGGTTGGAACCGACTCAATGGCACTTGACAACAACAACCAGTTTAACAAAGATGGCTATCACTTAAAATATAACACCAAAGCCACTGCTATGAAGTCAATTCTAACTCAATGACACGGTATAGTGCTTCAGATAGCTGCATCTTTCTCCTGCTAAGCAGCTGATGGGTTTTAACCGCTGACCTTGTGGTTAGCATTTTAGTGCTTATCCTACAGTGCTACATGAGCTAGCAGTCTTTAAAATTCTTACCACAAAGATTAGCAATCTGTAGTCCAATTTTCTTTCTGGGGGCTAAGTCTCTTCAAGAGGTAAGTTTTTACTATTAAGCAGATATATCTAAATGTATTACCAAAAAAACCCACAAAAGAAGCATAACATACTATACAAGAAAAAAATTTTTAAGGTACTATAAGATTTCAAAGTCAAAGTAAAAACTCTATAGTCTAAGTTTTGTTTTGCTTGTTGATGGTCATTAATTATATAGATATAAAAAGATAAAATGCAAACAGAGTAAACTAATGCATAAAGGCGAGAGGTCAATAATCACAATTACAAGGCACCTTCAAAGTCTGTGAAAAAATGGAATTGAAAGATAATGAATTTGTCCAGGAACTTTTGGAAGCCTCCTCGTATTCAGTGGAGACTACTGAAATGGAAATACTACTCATCTAGTATGTTTTCTATATACAGGAAAATGTTGGAAAGTGGTAGAATTCTGTAATTTGCTGGAACCATCTGGTATTAATATAAAAAACCCCTAAGAGTATCAACTTGAGAACACTTATATGCACAGTACAAAATTAGATTACTAAAAGATAAATTCTAAGAAGTTGTTACATGACAGTGGCTACATCTTATGGTAAGTCAAAATTCTGGCTTTTATAGTATCAGGTCATGATATACTCATAAATACCTGGGGGGGAAAGTATAGTACGATTTAATTACATATCTCTTGTAAACACTGTGAATTTTAACAGTTGTAGGCTTCCTCTAATATCTAATCACAGCTTCACTTGACAATGGAGGCCCCAAAGAGGCTAAATGTCTTGCTTTATTGCTATATATATAGCTTTAATTTCTAGATTCCACTCTTCTATTCACAACAGTGGCGCTGCAGAATAATGCAGTGGACCGCAAGGTCGGTTTGAACCATAAGGCGTAGTTTAAACCCACCACCTGCTCCCTGGAAGCCCTATACAGGGTTGCTGACTTGGAAACAACTCGAAGGCATTTAACAACAACAATTTACAATAGTAAACTATGAACTACTATTAGCTTTTCCTGTTTGTCTCACATCTTATCTTTTGCCTCATTTCTAACCTGTCACAAAGTGCTTTACTCTTCAATTTACTCAGTCTCTTAACTTTATTCCTGTATCTTTCTTTCCAGATCTGCTTATCCTTTCATGTCTCTTTCCAGTCACTGTTCCTTTCTTTACACTAGAAGCATTCTTAAAGTTTATAAATAAATATATTTAATTCAATTTAATTTCACAAATTAGTGTAAGTTAATTTACAAGTAGTCCAATTATTCAGAAATAACATTTTATGGTTAACTCTTTTACTGTTCATTCTAAAGCCAACATAATTTAGCATTTCTTTGAAGAAATTTCTAATTGTTACCAAGAAATAGATCAAATATTAGTACTTGGGAGGTTGATTCTACTAGAAGATTAACCAGGAAATCAAACTGTAAAAGTAAAAAGATAACATTTTAATAAAAATCAAGGAAGGTTTTTTGGAGTTCTGGTGTGGCACTGTAGGATAAGCACTGGACTGCTAACTGGAAGGCTGGCCGTTCAAACCCACCAGATGCTCCTTGGGAAACTCTATACAGGGTCGCTATGAGTCAAAACAACTCGATGGCACTTAGCGACAAGGTATGTTTTAAAGCCGGAATTCTGCCGAACAAATCTTTTCTTCACTGTTGCAACTGATAAGGATTCATTATCACATAAATGGAAACAGCAAATTATTTCTTGTTAATGTATGATTCAATTAAATGAAGCAGGGAAAAGAAAATCTCACCCCCAATGGTACTCTCTTGAAATTCATGAAATTGGCCTTTCACAAAACGAAGCACTAGGCTTGATTTGCCAACAGCAGACTCTCCCAGAAGTACTAGTTTGAACTGGCATATTTTATTTCCAGTATTTGGCCCGTTGGGTCTTGTTGCTCCTCGATTAGCCATGTCCAAATTTGATAGAAGTCCCTAATTTCAGACTTTTAAACGAGCTTCCAGGATGTAAGGTGTCACTTTTTCTTTCTGGAAGTAGTAACCTGTAAAGAAACAAAGATCATGCAATTAAATTTAGAAATCAGTAAAAACAATGCAAATCTAATACCGATCACTTCAATAAATTTTACCTCTTTTGGACATTCAATGTTAGCAATTTAGTTGTAATATTAACTACCTGTTTAATGAACTAATTTAAAGGCATGAAATTAGAGCCAAAACTTACTTTGTAATTTTCAGGTTGTTAAAAAAAACCCAACAACCAGCATTTATTAAAGTTTCAACTTTGTGACAGATATTGTCCTAAGTATTTAACATTTCTGTTCAACAATCCCATAAATTCATTGTTACTACAATCACTGTATGAGGAACAGAGGCAAAGAGAGTACCTTGACTATGGGACAGTTACGGTGACAATGGTGCCACAAAGCTGAGTTTCAAACACAGGCAACTTAAGAGGTGGCTCAGAGTTGAGGTTCTAGGGCCCAAGTGGTATTGCGTGCCACGAAATCGGTTCTGACTCACAGCAACCCTGTACAGCATTTCTGAGGAGTGGCTGGTGGGTTTGAACAACTAACCTTGCAGTTAGTAGTCCAGTGATTACCCTACAGTAGTGACAAAACAGGAGCTCCAGAGTACTTGGCTTAAATTAGTTTTGAGAATATGTAAGTTAATACATGGAAATTGCCTAGACAGATTCTGGCACTCCAAAAGAGATTAATAAATATTAAACAGAAAAGCTTCTGTTAAACAGTGCATGTTGTTGTCAGTTCCAACTCGTAGCAGCCCTGTATAGGGTTTCTGAAGAGCGGCTGATGAGTTTGATTGCGACGTTGCACTCAGCAGACTAATACTTATCCTAAAGTGCCACACCATTAATTAACATTAATTTTTGAAAAACATATTTTAAGGCCCCAAGTTTGTGTGTGTAGAGGCTAAAATACTTAAAACTGTTCGTCTGCTCACAACCATCATACACAGAAGTATTAACAGTAGTTCTCTCTGTAGGGGAATTATTAGTGAAGTATTTACTGATGCTTTTCTAGTGTCGTTAAATATGAGGGGACCTAAAAAATAAAAAAGTTCATGGAAAATAGAATTAAATGATAACGAAAATTTCCCCTGAACTTTGAGAAGCCCCCTCGCATGCCACTGTTTTCTATTTAACCACATTTGAAAAAACTAACCTGGGTGACATGTTTCTATGTCTTCCCTTATCATTGTTGTTAAGTGCTGTCAAGTCCGTTCCGAGTCATAGATATCCTGTGTAGGGTTTCTGTCTGTGGCTTTGAATCTTTGCAGGAGCAGGAAGCCTCATTTTTCTCCCTTGGCGTAGCTGGTGGGCTCAAACCAAGGAGGACCTTGTGGTTCACAGTCCAGTGCTTATCATATGGAGTCATCCTTTACATTATTTAATGTTAATTTTAAAGCCGAAATTAGGAAATAAAGAATCCATTCCATTGTTCAATCTAATTATAAACCAATCATTAAAGTTCTCTCCCATCTTAAATCAAGATCTGACTGCTTCCTTGCCAATAAACTATATTAAACCTGATGATTCTTTTCCTTTAAAAGCTCTGTTTTAGTTAACCAATCCTTTTAGAAAGTTTGCCTTTCCATAAAAACTGAAATTACATATGAAATATTCTTGATAATGAAATCATTAACAAATCCATGAGCATCAAAACAATAAAATCACCTTTATATAAGAGCAACATTGAAAAGTCCTTTTTATCAATTTAGAGACTGCAATAATCAGACAAAATGAAAGGATGTCTGAGAGTTGTTTCTAAACAATGGAGGCATAAATAAAATGACAATGAGATAAATGAGGCTGATGTTGGGTTCATTACACTATTCTCCCTACTTTTGCACATGTTTAAATTTTTCCATAATTAAAAAAACAACACACATCTGCCCACTTTAAGAAACATGTTAGATTAAGAGTCAGACTTCAGTGATACCAACTGAAGACTAGGTAAATATTTTAATTTCTACTATTTCTGTAAAGCCTTAACTTGCAGATCTGTTGTGAAATTAAGTGAAACAAATCTCACACAATGCCCAATACATATTGTTGTTGTTATGTGCCGTGGAGTCGGTTCCAACTCACAGCGACCCTGTACAGGGTTTCCAAGGCTGCAAATATTTACGGGAGCAGAAAGCCTCATCTTTCTCCCGCGGAACAGCTGGTAGTTTCGAACTGCTGACCCTGAGGTTCACAGTCCGATTCGTAAATTGGCAATTCAAGTGGCCATTTGATGAAATGACTAAATATTAACATCATGCAGACTGAAAATGCATCAATATCGTCAACTATTAGATACCTTAGCAATCAAAGCATTCCCTAGTTGTTTGGTATAGACAAAACAGTAAATGATTAATTATCAAGGACAAGTTGGAAATTTCAATTGTTTATTTCTAAAATTTTAGAGAAAACATCAGACTCCCATAAAAATCTGATTTAGCTTTGCCCTAAGGGTTAAAGTTACTGGATTATAGTTACTTCAAGGGTCTCAAATAGTAAGCGCCAAATTTAACTATATATATTAACGTTATGGTTAAAAATTACTTTAGGTGCATTCATTTACATTCACTACTTGCTGAAACTTGTCTGTATCGCAAGACAAGGATTTTGCACTAATAAGCACTTTTAATCTTTCGAAAAATAACTAGTACTTCATAAGAGATGTTTTTCTAGGTGCTCTTTGATCAAAATTGTACTACTAACAGCTAAAATTTACTGGGCACTTATTCTGTGCCAGGCACTGTTCTGTGTACTCTGCTCACAACAACCCCATGAGCTCATATTATCCCCATTTTACATGAAGAATAAAGTTTCTGAACCGTCCTATATATTCTCAGCCGTGTTTCTTTCTATTCGCTATGTAAAAAGCAAACTAACTCAACACTTAAGTTCCACTTTGGCAAAAGATAAAAGTCAAAAAATATGAATTACGATATCCAAGTGTACTTAACTCTAAAAGTCTCAGGAAGGTAACCAGTTTCCAAGGGATAAAACACCAGAGTCGGTATCGTGATTTTTATTTACTGAGGGTTCTCAGCGGTTTAGTGATCATGAGTTTCTTTCTAAGAGAGATCCCCACCTCCTATAGATGAGACCACCTATTTTGAGGCACTTCCCCACCCCAGGCCCACGATCCTCCGTCTTTGGAAGGAGGTAGGCGGAGCTCCCCAAATTCACACCTGCCGTAGGCCCGTAGTCTCCTAGCTGACTACATCACTAGTTGCTACCCAACTCCAGATCGCCTCAATAAGCAGGACTTGCAAGCCCCCCGGACAATCTTTCCCATCCTCCTCCCGAGAACCTCGCCTCGCCTGGCTTCGCCTGGGACTCCCAGTACGGCCAGGGCAGGCGCCAGGCGGAGTCGCGGCCTCCAGTCCTCTTTCCACGTCGCCATCTTGAGAAGGGAAAGGGTGACACCCGTCGCTCCCTCAGTCAGTCCCCAAATTCCGGTCAATAAAACCATTAGTCGAATGAGTCACCAAGGTAGGCCGGACCAGACTCCGGGTTCGGGTGTTCGGTGGGCCACAACACCGGTATAGGTGAGGAGTAAGGCAGGGGCTCACTGCCAGCGAGGGTGCAGCCAGGCTTGGGGCCGGGCCCCTCTAGCAGGGAGAAGGGTCTATTGGTTACCTGAGATCGCAGCACGCGGGGCCGCGGAGGCAAAGCTTGCCCAGAGCAGATGCCAGGCGCAGCCCTAAGGATGCAGCTGAGGCTGAGGCTGTGGTTTATGTGGCGGCGTCTCCTCCTCGCACCGCTCCCCTCAGACTGGACCGTGCGGGCTCTTGCCGCTGGTGCCGCCCCAGTCAGACTCCGTCTCCGCCTCTCCCCTCTCCACCTTCCTTTTTTCTTTCTACTCCTCCGTCGCCGCCGCCGGCGATCGGATTTCGACTACTTCTTCCTCCTCCTCCCTCCTCTGCCTCCTCCCCTTAGGCCCGCCGCCGGCTTCTTCACAAACCAAAACACAAACACTCAAGTCCCAGCGCGGGAATCACTTCCGCCGACCGGCGCCGGCCCCTCCGCCACGTCGCTGCACGTAGAGAGCTACGCCCCTTCGTCACATCCTGTCGTCGCCAATCCGACCTCTCTGTCCACTTCCCCCTCCCTCTCTCAAACCCCCGCCTATCCCGGGCCGCGTTCTCGGGGTGAGTATGTCACGTGATGCCCGCCAGCGGCTGGTGTCCTGTTGGGCCACCTCCTAAACTCCCCCATCACAGGCGCGCGCAGCCCCACCCTCGCTGGCGCCTTTGTTATCTGAGCCTGGGTCGCTGGGCTGCCGGCGTGGGTGGTGGAGCGTACTCACTCGCTTATTGTGTGACTATGGGTAAGACCGAAAGAACTGAAGGTAGCGTAGTGGTTACGAATCAGGCTGCGAACAGCAAAGTCAGCAGTTCGAAGCTACCAGCTGTTCCGCGGGAGATGACGCTTTCTGCTCTTACAAGAGGCTATCTGCTCTCGTAAAGATTTACAGCCTAGGAAACCCTGTATTGGTTTCCTACCGACTTCACGGCACATAACAACCCCTGTGGCAAGGTCTGCGGTTCAAACCCAAGCTCCTCTTCTGAAACCGTGTACAGGGTTGCCATGGTTCGGGATCCATTCGATGGCACTAGCCACAACAACCCGTGGAGAGTCCGAGTGTGCTGCTATAGGATAAGTATTGGGTGGTGGTGATGGTTGTGTACTGTGGAGTTCCAACTCATAGCGACCCTGTACAGGGTTTCCGAAGCTGTAAATCTTTACAGGAGCAGAACGCCTCATTTTTCTCGCGGAACAACTGGTAGTTTCGAACTGCTGACTTTGCAGTTCGCAGCCCGATTCGTAACCACTACGCTACCAGAGCTCCTTAATCAAACCCACCAACTTCCTTGGAAACCCTATGCAGGGTCACTGTGATTAGAACCAATTTGATGGCACTTAACAATAACCTCTTGTGGACAGCAAGGTTCCCTCTATGAAAATTAGATCACAGCCCTTCTCCTAACTCCGCAACTCCTCAACCCTGGACAGCCATGCCAAGGGACCTTTTGAGCCACAGACCCCAATGCTAAGTGCTTTCGAGGAATTATTTAATTCTTAAACTACTAGGTTTTCATTTTGATAATCACTTGCTTCTCATTTACCTTTCTACATTAGAATATTCTCCAAAGTGACCCTTGCCACTGTAAATGCAACGTCTAACCCAGTGCTTGGCACCCAAGTGTCTTCAGTCACGGTTATGGAATGAATGTATGAATGAATGAGTCGTGCCTGCTTTACAGGTGAAGAATTTGATTCACAGGGATTGAGTAATTTCTCTAAGGTTACTGGCTAGTTGGTGATGAAACTTCTAGCCTGTCTCTTGACTCTAGAACCTGAGTTCTTAAATAGTTCTTCAAAATCCCCCTGAAAAGCAGCCCAAGACATTTAGTAACCTCCACACCAGATCTACTCGAAAACCTGCTTCTCTGGTAAAATCACACATAAGGTATTTGAAACCAACCAAAATCCTTTTAATAATCAGGTCGTTGTTAAGTGCAGTGGAGTCATTCCACTCATTGTGACCTTGTATAGGGTTACCAAGTCGGATGCAGAAAACCTTGTGTTTCTGCGGAGTGACAGGTGGGCTGGAACTTTGGACCTTATGGTTCATAGTCCAGTACTTATTGTATGGAGCCACTGTGCTCCCATTTATTCAGTATTAGACTGTTACATTGATTTTCCCTCAGACTGAGGGCTGTTTTTCATTTTATACTTTATAGCCTGTTGAGAAACGAAGCCCTGGTGTCACAATGGGTTAAGTACCATGCTGTTAACTGAAAGATGGTGGTTGGAATCCTTCCCCAGCTCTTTGGGAGAAAGAGGAGGCAATCAGATTCTCTAATGATTAACTGCCTTGAAAGTATTATTGAAAGGACATCATGCTGTTGTCGAAGTGTACCTGAGGTAAAATATCCCATGGGTGCTCAGTCAACATTAGCTGATAAAAATTATTTGAACCCTTGAACTGGGTACCCAGTCTTTCAGATCAACTACCCAATTACTAATCAGCAGAGTATAATGTGTCATACCTCAATGGTATCTGTGGCACTTTATGTCCTAGGGGTTGTTCCAATATAATGTTTGTCATGGTAATAGTTCTTGGATAATCCTAGGAAGAATCAGGAAATAGGATATGTCACATCAGGTTTGGCATGTCAACAGCATGTCCAAAGCCAAAGCTATTCTGTCCCCAAATTCCTTTTACTTTGTGACTAACATTAACAACTTCTCAGTTCCCTCGGTCTTGAAATTGCAGAATCACCTTCAACTCTTCTTTCTTCCTTATAAACCATTCATTCATTCTCCTGACAAAAATTCTCTAATCTGAAAATCTAAACTGTAATCCCAAAGTTGACCATTATACTAAAATCAAATAAACCCACTGCCATCGAGTTAATTGTGACTCATAATGACCTCATCGGACAGAATAGAACTGCTCTTTAGGGGATTCTCATCTTTCTCCAAGGAGTGTGTGGTGGGTTTGAACTGCTGACCTTGTAGTTAGCCATGCAGTGCCCAATGCTTGGACCATGGTAGTATTCATATAAATTGGAACTAATGCAGTTTCACCTTTTCAGGGAGTCCTAGTGTACAGTGGTGTGGCACTGTGGGTTAATGTGCTGCATAGCAAAGCCGGCTTGAACTGAAAGGTCAGCAGTTCAAGCTCACCAGCCACTCCTTGGAAACCCTACACAGGGTCTCTATGGGTCGGAACCGAATCGATGGCACTTAATAACAACAAGTGTACAATGGGAGTTCTGGAGTGGTGCTGTGGGTTAATGCGCCAGACTGCAAAGTTCACCAGCTGCTCCTTGGAAACCCTATACAGGGTTGCTATGGGTCTGAACCGACTCAACAGCACTTAACGACAAGTGTACAATGATTAATTGCTCTGCTGCTAACTGAAAGGTCTCTGGTTTGAATCCAACAGCTGCTCTAATGTAGAAAAGACCTGGCGATTTGCTCCAGTAAAGATTATAATGTAGGAAACCCTTTGCTGTTGTTTTTAAACTGTTCAGCGAGGTTGAGTGGTTTCCATCCATAGCCACCACTCAGTATAGGGCTTCTGAGGAGCAGCTGGTGAGCTTGATTCGCAGACCTTGCAGTTCAAACCGACCTTGCAGTCCAGCGCATTAAGCCACAGCACAACACCAGGACTCCAGGAAACCCTATGTTGTTGTTGTTAAAGTGCCATCAAGTCAATTTCGACCCATAGCAACCCTGTATAGGGTTTTTGAGGAGCAGCTGGTGAGCTTGAACTGCCGACTTTGCAGACCGGACTGTCTTTGCAGTCCAGCACATTAGCCCCCAGTTCCACACCAGGACTTCAGGAAACCCTATAGAGCAGTTCTATTCTGTTATAAGGGCCGCTATGAACCAGAATCAACTGGGTGGCACATAACAACTTGCGCTTATAATTCACTCCTTAACACTTTAGCGTCTCTCTTCTAAAAATGTTCTCTGATATCTCATTCCTTACTAAATAGAGTCCAAACTTCTTTAGCTCTTGTCTCAACTCACCATCTTGCATCCTTTTTCCTCAAACCCTTTCTTTGTGCTCTAACCACATCATTCTCCTCTGTGCTATCCAGAACGAGCATAATGTGTCAGAGCTAAATGGTAGCTGTGGCACTTTATTATCTATGTATCCCCATCCTTTGCTTATTTGTTCTGCCTACCTGAGCACCATTACCTGGTTTCTGAGGAGCGACTGGTGAGTTTGAACTGCCTACCTTGCAGTTCAAATTAACTTTGCAGTCCAGAGCATTAACCCACAGTGCTACACCAGGACTCCGTACTTCTACTAGATTTATCTTATTTTTTCCCCTTGTAGTTTCACAACACTTTGCTTTACTCTCTATAATGGTTCTCTGAATGTCCTGCCTTAAAGAGTTGCTGGACTTTTTTCTTCAACCCTGCATTCTGTTTAGGATTATAAAGTTCTTAAGGGCCAGAACCATACTTGATTCATTATTTCAATTCCTTACAGAGTCTAAGAGGATCTTCAAACCCATTACTGTGGAGTTGGATCCTCATGTGGATCTGAATCTGACTCATAGCCACACTATAGGACAGAGCAGAATTGCCCCAGAAGGTTTCCAAAGCTCTAATGTTTACAGAAGCAGACTGCCACATCTTCTCCTGTGCAGCAACTGGTGGGTTTGAAACACTGATGTTTTGGTTAGCAGTCAAGCACTTAACCACAGCCCCACCAGGCTCCTTTCACTAAAATGCTCTTGTTGTTAAATGCCGTCGAATTGGGTCTGACTCAGAGGGTTTCTGAAGAGCAGCTGGTGAGCTTAAAATTAAACCACCAACCTTACAGTTCAAACTGACTTTGCAGTCTAGCATATTAACTCACAACACCACATCAGGACTCCTTCAGTAGGAACACCAAAAGGAGTTGTGAATTAATTGTATTTAGAATGGTTTAAGGAGACCTCACACATAACATATGAGATGCTAAAATTCACAGATTGCTAGAAATGTCCATTTCATTTTTCTAGTGTATTACTTCCTCATTCATTTCTTTCTACAGGTTTTTTTTCTCTTAATATACTTCTTTCATGAATACATTGCACAATATCTTACAGTTTAGTCATAATGCTTACCTGGGAGAGTGTACCAGTGGCTGACACTTTTAAGATACAGGGTAATACTAGGGAAATTAAAGTGCTATAGTGCCTTTTTTTCCTGATTCCAGGTAAATGAGGAGAACTAGCAACTGCCCCATGTTTTCATATCAAGTGTGGGATCATACTGGGTGATAGAATTTAAGGAAACAACAGCATGGATTGGTCCTAAATAACAGAAAAAGACAATATCACTTAGAGTTTGCATTCTCCTTTAATCTCCAAACACTTGAACCCAAATTCCTAGTACCTTAGCTCTTTCGACCATCCACAACATCCTGTGTCCTTCTGCCAGACTTGAGAATCCACCCTGCACCCTCTTCCCTGACTTGTGAATGTAAAGAATAAATCTTTACACTGATGATGGTAATGCATAAAAACCCTATGAGGGTTTCAAACTCATTGCCCTCAAGTCAATTCCAACTCAAAGTGTCCTATAGGACAGGTAGAGCTTCCCTCCAAGTTTCTAAGGTAGTAAAATCTTCATGGAATCAACTACCTCATCTTTTTCCCCATAGAGTGGCTGGTGGGTTTGAACTACTGACCTTTCAATAAGCAACCAAGCAATTTAACTACTGTGGAGTCCTGGTGTGGTGCTGTGGGTTAATGTGTCAGATTGCAAAGTCTTTGCACTGCAAGTTCGGTGGTTCAAGCTCAGTAGCTGCTCCTTGGAAAGCCTATACAGGGTCACTATGGGTGGGAATCGACTCAACAGCACTAAAAAACAACAGCAATTTAACCCCTGTACCACCAGGACTCCTTTGATAATGTATGTTGCTATTGTTAAGTGTCCTCAAGACAGTTTAAATTATAGTGACCCTGTGTAAGGTTTCCAAGAAATGACTGGTGTGTTCGAACTACTGACATTTAATTAGCAGTCCAGTGCTTATCCTACAATGCCACAGTGGGCCCCCTTTACAATAAATATTAGTATTTCATTTTAACTGGGACAGTCTCTGGGCAAGCCAAAAATCTGATTAGCACACAAACCAAATGATAACTCTGTCATAAGAAATATTAGCCATGGTGGCAAGGCAGTATGAGAAAGGTAGTGGAAACTTTATGCTAAAAACCAAAATTACCAAACCCAGTTAACAGAGCATTCTAACTCATAAAGCCCCTATAGTGCAGAGTAGACGTCCATAGGAGTCTGTGGAAGCAGACTTTTACCTTCGGAGCTGCTGGTGATTTCAAACCGTTAGTCTTTCAGATAGCTAAGGACAGTTCCACTAGGCTCCATAACCTTAGGTAACTCTGTGTAGGACTTTCAAGCAGTGGCTGGTTGATTTGAATGACCAGTTTTGAAGTTAGCAGTGTAGTGTTTATCCTACAATGACAGTATTCTACAATGTCACATCAGGACTCCACCGTATGTGATTGTTGTTGTTAAATGCCTTCGAGTTGGTTCCGACTCTCTTGAGTATAGGGTTTCTGAGGAGCAGCTTGTGGGTTTGAACTACCAACCGTGCGATTAGCAGTCTAATGCTTAGCCTACAGTTTCTACCTTAGGTTGTTGTTAAGTGCCATCGAGTCAGTTCTGACTCATAATGACCCTTAAAGGATTTCTAAGATGGCCTGGTGGGTTTGAGCTGCTGACCTTTTTTGGTTAACAGTCTGGTGCTTATCCTACAGTGCCACGTCAGGACACCTTAGGTTAGTCATGTTAAAAAGTTTGTGTCTTCAGAGGGCATCATTCAGGTCTCAGGTTAGGTATCATTATCCTAGAGGGATTCAAGCCTACGAATTCCTAAATAACACCCAACCTATCCCGTCCATACACATCCAAGCATTCTATTTTTTCCCAAAACTCATTACTATATGGAATTATTTCTTGGTTTACTTGATGGTTTTCTATCCCCTTAAGCTCCTTGAAAATAAGAATTGACTAATTCTTCAATGTATTCCCAGCTTTGACACAAAAAGTAGGGACTGAATACATAGTTGTAGAATAAATGAACAGAATTACCCTTTATACAAATATATATGGCTTTGCAGGATAAACACTGGACTGTTAACTACAAGGTAGGTGGTTCAAACCCAACAGCCAGTCCTTGGAACTCCTATTCAGGGTGACTATGAGTTGGAGCCCACTAGAGAGCACTTAAAAACAACAACAGCATACGTTGATTTACACCATCAAGTCATTGACACAGTGGCTGCAATAAAGGCTCACACTTCACAATTGTGAGAATGGCGCTTGCCTGGGAAATGTTATCTTCTGTTGTACATAAGTGTCTATAAGTTGTTGCTGACTCAACATCACCTGATGAAAAGAAGTCATTTAAAGCACTTAGGGGGGAAAGGATATTTATATTAACTATAGAAAATTTTAAACAATTTTTAAAAAATATGAATTAGTATCCTCTTAGGAACTTTAGATTTTAAAAGGTTGTCATTTAGATTTTAAAAGGTTCTTTGCATAGTCTGTAGAATTTTGTATATTGTATTCAAATTCTACACTGGTGGTGTGTAGTGGAGCAATTCCAACTCATAGTGAGGCTGCATAGATATAGGGTTTCGGAGGCTGTAACCCTTTATGGGATCAGAAAGCCTCATTTTTCTCCCACGGAACTGCTGGTAGTTTCGAAGCTCTGACCATGAGGTTAGCAAACCAACTCATAACCACTATGCTACCAGAGCTCCTTAGGTGTTCTACCAGAGCTCCTTGTTGTTGTTGTTAAGTGCTGATGAGTCGGTTCCAACCAGAGCTCCTTAGGTGTTCTATATTCCCTGTGTCTGTAGACTATGATAAATGTTGACCAAGTAAATAATTTACACTTTCACTAAAGCCTAACAGAGGAGTAACCCCTAATTAAAAAAAAGAAAATCATATTCTTAAAAAGTTTTGAGTTTGTCACAGTATTAAAAGAATAAAAGAAAGGAAAAAACCCCCCACAAAAACAACATTGTACATTGTGTAACAGTTACCGAAAAATTTAATATATTTATCTTTTAAAGTCTAGTTATTAAAGTTTAAGTGTTCTCAAGACATTTAAAATGTTTCTGAATTATATCTGCCAGGTTACAACTTTCTAGAATTTAAAGTAGTTCTTTAGTTGCTAATAGAACTGTATGTACTGAAGGTATGTACTGAAGGCACCATAAAAATCCTAAAAGTGGTCACCACCAGAAAAGATGTTATTACTTGATGGGAGCAACATTAAGAAGCCAATGGGCCAGAAGTGGTGGTGGTTATGAGCCTTGGAGTTGGTTAGATTCATAGTGACCTTGTGTACAGGGTTTCCAACGAGGCTGTAAATCTTTACTGGAGCAGAAACCCTCATCTTTCTCCCATGGAACAGCTGGTAGTTTTGAACTGCTGACCTTGAGGTTCGCAGCCGGAATTCATAACCACCACACTAGCAGAGTACCTCTGGTCAAAACCATCCTAGCATAAGTGCTAGGAAATCAATGCTTAGGAAATCAAAGAGCAGCTAGCTATGCTATTCAAGTTTAACGGTCCATATTATAGCCCATTTCTGCCTCTCAAAAAAAGTCTCTCAACAACCCCAGAGAAGATGGTTCCGCTCAATCTCATCCTGCCGGAAGGGAAGAGAAACAAATGTGTTCCTACTTGGTTAGGTGTTCCCTAACTGAACTAGTCTGTTAGTTCTGACGCATAGAGAGCCTGCATAGGGTTTACAAAAAGCAACTTGGTGGGTTTGAACTGCCGACCTTGTAGTTCACAGTCCATTGCTGATCGTACTGCGCTACACCAGGAATCCAGTTGGCTGGTTGTTATGTGTTCACCAGTTGGTTCGGACTCACAGCGACCCTATATATATTTTATGAAGAGAAACTGGTGAGTTTGAACTGCTGACTTCTCAATTCAACCCGACCCTCAGTCCAGTGCTTATCCTACAATACCCCTAGAATCAAGAATGGATCTGACTTCTAGTAAAGAGGGAGACTCAGAGGTGAGAAAAAGAGAAACTGATAGACATGGAGGGGGCGGAGACTATCCCGAGTTAGAATTGTGCTCCAAGTTCCGCCCCTGTTTCCTAGGTAACTGGGCAAACAGTCCTTCCACTTCTTTTCCTGAGTGAACTCGTCTAGGTGTTAAGTGGCAGGCAGAAGGCGAGTTATCAGAGATTTCGAGCGAGGATGTACTCCTTCTGGGTCCCCTAAGGGAATGGGGTCCCTAGGGATTTGGGAACATCTCTCGAGCCAGGTGAAGCTTATCTTTTAGACGTGAATGCCTTTGGCGGAATGAAGACGTCTGGGGAGAAATCTCTGACCCCTGAGTTCGGACTCACCCACCAAAAAAAGGATGATTTAGGAGACACGAGCGTTCTCATGGGAACGAATTCTCCCATAGAATTGAGGCCTGGAGTAGGATTAGGAAAAGATTCTCAATGGAGAGAGAACCCCATGGTTAATAGTAAATATGAGAAGAGGATGGGATCACAAGAAACAAAATCTTCGCTGAACAAGGAGCCTGAAATGGGCTTAGAAAAACAGAGTATTTCTGAGTTGGCCTTGAAAACCCCCACGAAGTGGGATAATTTAGAAGTGAACAAAGTCTCAGTCTCTCAGGAAATAAAACCTTCTCTGGGAGTGTTGCCAGGGAGAATGGGATTAGAAAATGAGTGTCTACTGGCTGAGTGTCCTGGTGGAAGGGTAAAACAGCCTCCCTTGGGCATGGAGTGTGGAAGTCAACAAGTTCCATGGAGCAGGAGAGTGCCTATGGCTAGGGCGTCTGTAGAGATGGGCACTTCAATGGGAAAACAGCCTACTTTGGATACGGAACCTAAAGAGGAACTGAAGAAAGATTTGACCTGTGTTGTAACAAAGCCCAGCACAGAGATGACATATCCAATGGAGGTGGACGTGGGGCTACCCCAACCAGAGAAGCTAGAGCCCCAAATGGGCTTAGTGATAGAACCCCCTATATGTCAGTTTGCCCAGCAACCCAAAGTGAAAAAGGAAGAGAATGAAAACATTGAGCCTCCACATCACTTCAGACCTATATACGCTGGGAAATTTTTTGATCGAATGCCTCACTGGCCAACTGTAAGTGCCCCCTCCCCCCATATTTTCTTTGATAATTATGTGTAGTCATGTGTTTATTGTGATGATAAACTGACTAAACTTGTTTGGGCTTGTGGAGTGAAACTGTATAAAATCTACTGGGATTCTGATACCTTTTGCCCTATAGGACTTTCCAGATGTTACTTTGTCTGATCTCTGATTTTCTATCTTTTTTCCTAAAATGTCAACCTTGTTTTCTGTACGATATACCAGTGGTTCTTCTCATTTCTCCTGCTTTTCTCCTTTGAACATCATTTCCTTGCTCAATCTTAATTTTCTCATCCCTCTCACCAAGATTCTTGTGTCCTAGGATTCCCATAATGAATGGAAAAAGACATTTTTTCCTATTAATTATCCATTCCTTCAGCAAAGATTTGTGATGGCCTTTTAGCTAGGTACCGGGCCATATAAAATGAATAGTAGGTACATGACCCCTACCCTTTAGCTTTAGGTGTTCACTCCAGTGATGGAGACAGACAACTAAACAGATATTTTATAGATGTCTTAATGATTATAAAACAAATGTGATTATTTCTTAATACAAGTAGATTTTGCAGATATTAAGCCATTTATTATAATTGTCCTATGAGTTATATACTGTTAATCAATCCCATTTTACACATGAGGAAACAGACAAATTAGATGATTTGGTCAGGATTAGGGAATGGTGTCATCAGGATTTGAAGTCACACCTTTTGACTGCAGAGTCTGAGTTCTTGATTGTACTACATTTTCTGTTATACTTTTCTCCAAATGTATTTTTACAAAAATTTTACAAAATTTTTAAAACCTAGAAATTATGTCTTTATTTATCACTGACTTAGTAAGCATTGCAGCATTATTACAAAGACTTGACAGTCCTTTGATAATACAAAAGGATATTACTTTACGCAAAAAAAAAAAAAAATGTATTGTTTACTTAACCCATTCATTCAATTTTGGGCCTTTAGGTTAATTCCTGATTTTTCTATAAAATTAATGCGTCCTTGACACGTTTGTTCATATGGCTTTTTATATGTCTTGGAATATTTCATTAGGATATTTTCAGTAGAGGACAAAAGTATGACTCTTTCTCTGGTTTAGTTGTCAATTCTCTTTCTAAAAGATTCTTCCTGTAAATTTAAAAGTTGATAATGATTTGTTAAGCATAGTTTTAATTTTCATCTATTCTTGGATTTATAATAATATTAGAAATTGATCCATATATTTTTCTTAATTGTTTCTGTTGTTCTTATATCTGGGTCACTTTGAGAACTCTGTGTCTTAATTGTTGTTGCTGTGTCTTAAGTACTTTTGACCTGGTTCAGACTCATAGCAAACCTGTATATGATTTCCAAGGAGTGACAGGTGAGTTTGAAGCACTGATCTTGTGGTTGAAGTTGACCTGTGGTGCTTTATCCCACAGTACCACACCAGGACTCCTTGTCTTAATTATCATTATTTCTTCTCTATTTTCTAGGTAGGTTTGACATGGTTCTTGGCTGTCAGTTTTTTTCCTTTCCATGTAGTATGTATGTTATCCCATTGCCTTCTTGCCTGTAGAATGGTTTCTACTGAGAAATCAGAGATGAGTCTTATTGGTTCTCTTTTGTGGTTAATATTTCATTTTCCCAAGCTACTCTCAGGATTTTTCTTTGTCTTTGGTTTTAGAAAGTTTGGTTCTAATATATCCTGGTAGTTTTCTTTTGGGGTCTATCCTGTATGAGGTTCATTCAGGTTTTTGAATGTCTATCTTCTTGTCTTTCACAATCACTATGTTAGGTTACTTCTAACAACTCTTCAGCAGTTTTTTGTCTCTTCCTCTTCTAGAATTCCAATCACATGCAATTTATTGGTCTTGATGGTGTCCCACTTAACTTTTAGGCTTCCTTTGAATATTTTTTGTTTCTTTTTCTGATTTTTCCCCTAGCAGATTAGTATTGAGAAATTTTTCTGCCTTTCTTTTTTCAATTCTACTCCTTTGTCCTTTCAGTTTTTGCGAATTCTTCTAAAGTTTTTTCTGGATTTCATATGCAGTTTTCTCTATCTTCCTCTCAGTCCATTGAAAGTAGCTAAATATCATTTTTTCAGTTCCTTATTAGATAGTTCCATGCCATTTCTTCTTCAGAAATGTCTTCTGGCTCTGTATATTGATCACTTGTTTGAACCACTCTGTCTTTTTTTCTTAAGGGGTTGAGTGAAAGTTTACAGGGCACATCATCAGTTTTACATTTAACAAATCATATACCTTGTTTCATTACACGGATTATAATCCCCTCCATGTCCCACTAGGCCATGCAAACCTATCTCAGTGTTCCCCTATGTATCTTGTTCTTCTACCTCCTCCCCCCTTCTTGTATTGCCTTCCCCAACACCCAAAATAAACCCCCTACCCCCACTCCAACCCCATTGTGGTTACCTTATATTCCATTAGTTCTTCCCTCCATTTAAGATAGTCTATTTTATCCAGTAATCTACCTAACTTTCCCACCACCTGTATCTCTGTTCTTCTGTGTTTACCTTTTTTCACATTGTAATTGTTTTGATTCATAGGCTGAACTCCCAGATCCTCTGTTCTTATAATTTTATTCTGCTCCTGACTCTTCCATTTGTCAACTGAATTCAGGGTGATGCTGCCATGTACGTCATTCTGTAGTTGTTGTGTGTTATTGTTCTCAGTCCACAGAACTTCTTTAGGATGTTTTTCATAGCAGGGTTGGCTTTGGCAAAATCCCTTAGCTTCTGTTTG